GTAAATTTTTCTCCAATATCTTTCTCTCTGTATTGCGTGCGTATATAAAGAATCCCAGTGTGGCCGAATATTTCCGCTATATAGCCGTTTATATAACCACGATAAAGTTTAAATGAAAGTTGTTTAAATATATTTTATATTTGTAACATTATTATTATATAAAATGCTTCGTTTGTGAAATATTCAACCGACCGAAATATCTTTACTAAATATTTTAATTATCGTTAAATATTTTACTTAAGGCTTATAATAGGTAATTATGTTTCTTGTCGCAGAGTAACATGATCCTATGAAGACACCGGTTTTTGTTCCTCTTAATTCTTTAGGATTTACACCGACATCAATAATCGCTTCGTAGGTATGTTCAAGCAACATCCTATACATAGGATCAGTGGCGTGCGCTTCCGAAGGTGTCATGTTGAAAAATTGCGCGTCGAACTTCCGTTCATGGTTAATAAATCCCGATCGACTCGGCATATCGTAATGAACTGTTAAAATTCCGGACATTTACTTTATTATACTTAGTATATAATCGATTGAATTTCTCAAAAAACAGCAGAGGATTAATATTTTCACTTTTGAAATTTTATGCGAACAGTAGATGTATATTACCATTACTCCATCGTCGACTATCATCGGAACCTAGGTATATTTTATTCAAAACATTTTCTTCTAGTTGTTTCATATTATCAGTATTGGGAAACCGTCCTGAAATACCAGAGATCACAATTTCCTCCTCTGGAAGGACTTTCACATATGGATTGTACCGTTTACTGCTTTCCATACTGCAGGCTTGCTAAAATAATTATAAATTGGTTTAAACCGGAAGGAGAAGGATTTTCAAATTATTCCGGCAGGATGAGTATAACGGTCAAAATGAGCATCAAATGAACTTGTAATTTTATTTTGCAGACAAATTTTGCATTTGAGAAATGTATTAAAAACTTATATTGATAATAAATACAAATGCGAAAAAACTACGTTGTTCTTTTCCTAGTCTTCAAATTGTTAAAATAAAATTTGATAACAATTTCAATTATCCATTTAATATCATTTCTTAATAGCAGCGATTACAAACCTCAGGTGAATACTTGATCCTGTTATGGGGATGGTTACTACGTGAAAGCTAACGAAACTTATCGATGGGCATTTATGTATGGACTTCGATATCATTAACATAATGCAAGATAAATTCACATTTATGTTAATAGTATTAATCGTTGTTTTATTATACAAATTTTCTTTGTTTGGCTGGCTCCATTTCTTGTTATTTTTCATCCACATTCGTCCTCTCTCTCTCTCTCTCTCTGTTAAAATAAATATATTCACAAATATTTGGCACTTGATAGAGGCCACTGGAAAGCCCCGGATGGCCAAGATTCAATTTCACCGATCCCATCAATAAAGGACTTATATCAATAAGGACCCATCAATAAGGACAATAAATTCCTTTTTGAACATAATGCTGGATCGATGGTGTCAACTACTGGATCTCCTACTGCAGTACCAGTTGCATGGGCCTCCATGTAGGAGAGCATTTCGGGTGTAACATCGCAATCATCATACAGTTCTTCTAATAACTCCTTCTGCATGTTGAATGAGAGATATATAATGCCTTCATGCTTAAAGCCATCACAGTTGGTTTTAGCGTAAACGTAAGTAGCATAGATTTGTCTCGCATCCTTAGACTTTTGGAGGTACACTATCGCCATAGCTTCGCT